AGAGTAGAATCGTGAGGTTGATGTTTCTCATGAGTTGGATATATATTTGTGTTTACTGCTAAACAAGCTTAAGAGCGCCAGGGTTGCATGTGTAATGACGTTTTTTGGCTGAGACCCTGATCGGACGCGGATAGCAAAATCACCTTGCAACAACTTGGAAACCGAAACTCCTCCCTCTTCGCATAATCAGCATAATACCATGGTACGATTAGATGCCGGATTTTATTAAGGGTCTACACAGCACCGAATTAATGACTCCTGACCTCAATACTCGTTTTTCTGTGCTGTGACAACCATGAAGCTGGCTCTTCCAACCGGCCGCTTCTGTTCCAACCTCATCCTACGGCAGCAACTTTTGCGGACCCCGTTCACTTCCAATTCGCGACACCTATCCTCCTCACCCCTAATATATACGCCGCTATCACCGTCGCCGTTGCTGCAGAGTCGCTCTTTCAGTCATCGGTTACAACAATGGGGCCCTAGAGGCGCGTGGAGAGGGAGCCAGCGGAGAGCTCACAGCTATAGCCAGGGGTGGGATAGCTCACATCATCGGGCGTATCGAGAGCGCACTCGATCTCCTGGGAAAGGCAATATCCTTCTTGCGTCTGCCATTGGTGCTGCAACGTTGACTCCGGCCGCACTTCTGCAGCTGGCAGAGAAGAACAAGGAGGGTGACGGAACGAGCACTCGCGAGCGCGAGATGCTTAATGCTTCTCGGGCTGAGGCGAAAAATATAAGACGTGTTGGAAGAGGGATAGTGGACGAGAATGGTGATGCTGATCCCGAAAGGCAAAGGCCTAGGAATCTCCTTTGGCGCGTATACGGCCTACTGGACGAGTATGTGTTTGAGGTAATTGCTACGGGATTCCGGTTTGTGCACCTGGTGGTTCTCTTTATCCCGGTTATAGCGAGCGTACCTATCGTTTTCTTCGGGCAGAGGGTCAAGGATCGAGATAACCATAGGAGAGGTACTCTGCTGTGGTATGCTCTTATTGTGTTTACAATGGAACGTGCCGGGTCTGCATTTATCAAGGTAAGGGCTCCTTTGCGGTAGAACTGTTTGTCCCTATGCTATACAGAAAGCGAGCAAAAGATACTCTGGTCCGATCATTGGCTGATTTGATTGTTACGTTTCTCGTTGGATGTACAGCTTGGACAATGGGCTGCTTCGAGATCTGATATATTCCCCCCAGAACTATGTGCTTTAATGTCATCGCTTCATTCGCATGCGCCTGCACATCCATTACATGTGACAAAGCGCACCATCAGCAGAGCGTTCAATGGCTTACCGTTTGACGAAATCTTTGAGGAATTCGACGAAAAGCCCCTCGGAGTGGGTGCTATTGCTCAGGTATACAAGGCCAAGCTACGCCCAGGTTTGGCTGGCTCGTTGGATCTTGCATCCAAACCCTCGAATCTACGTGAAAAGGTGAGAAAGAACGTCAACGTTCTTGTCAAGAGTACCCCAGAGACTGTCCCGTCATCGTACATTGCGATCAAAGTCCTTCATCCAAAAGTCGATAGGACCGTACGACGAGACTTGCGTATTATGGGATTTTTTGCCACCCTTATACACTGGATCCCTACTATGGAATGGCTATCGTTACCGGACGAGGTTGAGAAATTTGGAGAAATGATGAAACTTCAATTAGACTTACGAATTGAAGCTGCGAATCTTGCATTCTTCAGAGAGAACTTCAAGTCACGAACTACTGCCAGATTCCCATATCCGTACATCGAATATACAACACGCGAGGTGCTAGTCGAAGAATTTGCACAAGGCATTCCCCTCGCCGCCTTTTTGGAGAATGGCGGTGGTGTTTTCCAGCATGATATTGCCCATGAGGGATTAGATGCCTTCCTTCACATGTTGCTCATTGACAACTTTGTCCATTCTGATCTCCACCCAGGAAATATCATGGTACGTTTCTATAAACCAAGCCAACTAGATCTCTCCTTGAGCGTACAGCACCCCCAGGGAGCACTGGTGTCGGACAGCGGGAATAGTGCAACGGAGTCAGTACTGGCACGGCTGAGGAAGCACCGGAAAGATCCCGCCGCTTGGGATGCGACACTAAAGCAGATTGATGCTGAAGGATACCGACCTCAGTTAATCTTCATTGATACCGGGCTAGTCACTGAACTCAACACCGTTAACAGACGCGACTTTCTGGACCTTTTCCGAGCCATTGCCGAGTTTGATGGATACAAGGCGGGATATCTCATGGTTGAACGATCCCGCCAGCCTGATTCAGTGATTGACGCGGAGATATTCGCACTCAGGATGCAACATCTTGTTCTCAGCATCAAGGGGAGAACGTTTGCGTTAGGAAATGTCAAGCTTGGGGATATATTGAGCGACGTGTTATATATGGTGCGGAATCACCATGTGAGACTTGAGGGCGACTTTATCAACGTTGTCATTTCTGCTCTACTCCTCGAGGGAATCGGAAGGAGATTGGATCCAGACCTTGACATATTCAAAAAGTTTGTCTACACTTCCCTACTTTTCATCCTCTCCTTTACTATTGCTCTTCTTTTCCCCGAGAGCCGCTAGCTAACAACTTAAATAGTGCACTACCAATCCTCCGTCAACTTGGGTCCAAATCCACACTGCTCAAATCCGTTCGTGAGGGAGATACATCCATGCTCCGAGTATGGGTTGGGCTGGAGGCACGAAGCTTTTTGAAAGCCAGCATCTCGAGCGTCGAGAAGTGTGTGAAATATGACCTACTGTCCCCAAATATTTAACACACATATACTCCTTTTTTTGTATCCTTCGCATATACTCCATGCGTGGCTGAGGTATATATCTCCAAGTAACAGCGGTATCTGTACATAAACCTGGCCACTTTTGCATCCTGTGGAATATTTTTACTTGCATATAGATTCTTGGAGGGCATCTTCCCAAATGTTTTTTCCACCGTGGATATGGCTGGGCCACGATTAAAACATCTCTACTTAATATATATCCATTCCCACCACTCATTACCATGTATTAGATCATAATAATTAAACACTTAGGCATATCATCGAGCAAACCCCCTTTTCTAGATGTTCTCTCTGTATCCCCAAATCGCTCGGCAGCACTATTGCCGAGAAAACGCCTTCTTTCTCCACAGCAAAATTTCTTAACCCCGTAGATCTCTCACACTTCCTTGACCTGGTGGTGCAGATGCAAGTTGGGCATTTCAGACCCTTTTTCTGCAGAGATTTTACAGTACCTAATCGGCGGATTTCGTGACTGAGGGGAACCGCGATGCCATCCTCAAACCGCCCACATTCGTACGTGGACTATGGCGAATATTCCGAGATACCTACGTCGACCTGGAGATGAAGGGTATAGGACTCCGACTATAGAAGACACCGAGAAAAACGCCTCTGCCAGCGTGCTGCCGTTTATATTCCCTTCCCAACCGCCAACTCCTCGCTGTCCTACGCCGCCGGTCCTCTCGCAGTTTCGACAACGGCCACCGCTTCCACATAACCCACCCAAGGTAAATGGAGATGGAAACGGGACCGGGACAGTAACGCCAGTGCAGGGCGTGGATGGCCAGCTTGCACTGCTTACCTGGAAAGAACGCATACGGCATCTGACATGGTCGTTTTTCACGTTGACCATGGCCACGGGAGGGCTGGCGAATGTCATATATACGATCCCCGTCCAGGCTAGATGGCTGGAAATAATTGGTCTGGTTATCTTCCTGGTGAACCTGGCATTCTTCGTAGCTATTGTTGTGTTGATGTGCCTACGGTTTTATCTATATCCGTATACCTTCAAGGCGTCGTTTCTGCATCCTACGGAGTCGCTATTTGCACCAGCTGTGATCGTTTCCTTTGGTACAATTCTGATCAATGTGGCACAATATGGTCCTAGCCATGCCGGGGAATGGCTTGCACATGCAACAGTGGTCTTGTTCTGGTTTGATGCAGCTCTGGCTGTCACCTTATCCGCGGGCATTTACCTTATTCTGTAAGCTCAGAGCCCTCTCTCTATCTATAGTCAGATGGCTAATGTTAATGGTGCAGCTGGTCAACACAGACGTTTACAATTGCTAAAATGACGCCGATATGGATATTCCCAGCATATCCAATGCTGATCATCGGCCCTCATGCAGGGATCTTGAGTGCGAGCGTACCTCAGCGCCAGGCCCTTCGTATCATCATCGGCGGCTGGACTATACAGGGGGTCGGATTCCTGGTCTCGCTGATGGTTTACTCTGCGTTCATATACCGACTGATGACGCAGAAGCTACCGAATGAATCTCTAAGGCCTGGAATGTTCGTCTCCGTTGGGCCAAGCGCGTTCACCGTTGCGGGTATTCTGAGCATGGGCGAGAATGCTGCCAGGTCCATACCTGCTGATTTCATGGGCGACGGAAAGCTGACGGCGAAGATTCTGTTTGTGGTTTCGAACTTTGCGGCTCTGTGGTTGTGGGGGTAAGTCTTCTACCATACTAACGTATAAATATGCACATCTACTAACTCCTCCCGTGTCCAAAGCCTGGCCATATTCTTCTTCTTCATTGCTGTATTCGCCCATTGGACACCCGCTCGTCGTGGCCGGATGGCATTCTCGATGACCTGGTTCTCCTTTGTGTTTCCGAACACCGCGCTGACTACAGCCACCTTTGCCGTCGGGAGGGCGTTTGGAAGCAACGGCATCCAGATAGTGGGCTACGTCTTCACCGCTCTGCTCTTCATCACCTACTTGTTTGTATTCTTCATGATGGTTCGAGCTATCCGAGCACGGCAGATTCTGTGGCCGCAGAAGGGAGAGGACAAGGACGAGGGCGGGTTCAAGATCAAGGAGCATAAGCCAGATGCCTCCGGTATCCTGCCGGTACGTGTATAGTGTAGATGATAGCAGTATAATACAGACTCTTAAACTCTTACCTTACCTTATACTCTAAACCCCATACTAGATCCTCATACCTTGGTTGTAGTTAACTGGTCTGGGCTAATCAATCACTAGCCGCCCTCCTCCATCTATCCAAACCGGCAAGGTGGCCGAGCGGTCTAAGGCGTTCGACTCAAGTTTCTAACTTAGTTTGTGAAAACACGAGCTTGTATTCGAATGTGAGTTTCACGCGTGGGTTCGAATCCCACCCTTGTCATCATTTTTTTTCTCTTCTTTTTTTCTCTTCTTTTTTTCTCTTTTTTTACTCTTCTTCTTTTATTATCTTCTACTACATTATTTTTTACTGTTGAGTATAATCATTGCTATTCGATGCTGGCATTCTAGACTTCCCCGCCGCGTCACCAAGTGACTCATGCATGCGGCGTTCAGCTCTCGCAGCTTTCAAGGCCCACTGGGGAGCAAGAGGAGTCAACTTCTGCCTGCTCGGGCTTCTCGATTTGGGCCCATCGAGCAGATCAGCCACTGTGATGGAGCCATCGGAGGCGGCTTAGGGCAAAGGCGATGACGGATGTGCTACATCTCGATTGGACACCGCCAGATGGGAGAATTACTCACTCTTCAGCCGCATCGATGAAGGCGAGAGATCGGACCCAAGAGAAGAAGGGTGTACATATATAAACCGCAGCTTCGTCCACCGACTGCGATCTTGTTCTTCTTCAGCAGGCGACATTCATAGGGCGAACTTACCTCTAGAGTGTTGCTCGCCTAGATCAACCGACACCCTCACCATTCCTACTCACTCTCTCCCCTTTCGTCTTTTTTTTGCTGAAAAAAAAGGGCACGATGGCGGGGGCAGAAGGGATTCCTGCGTCGGCGTTCGTCACCAAAGACACGCTGGCCGCGGAGGGTGTCTATGAGCTATTCATTCCCGGATTTGGTGTCTTCTCCCGTATCATCTCTACTCTCTTTCACATTGATATATCGCAATATCTCCCCTTCCTGTTCATCGCGGCCCTGACAATCGCGGCATCCCGGTACTTCTTCGATGGCGTCTCCAGCTTCGTGCAGAACCACTTCATGTCCTCGGTGCAGGTTCAGGTTGATGATGAAATATTCAACTACCTGATGTATTGGGTGTCGAAGCAGCAGTTCGTCAGCCGGTCGACAGACATCTTCGCCTCAAGCTCGATGGAGAGCGAGTATGTGTCGAGGTACAGTGAAGATGACGATGAGGAGAGAGAGGAAGATGATGGCAGTAACATGATCGGGGATGAGGAAGAGTTCGAGGAGTACTGGGAGCGAACGAACAGATGGGACAAGATCAAGCCGATCCATTTCACGCCTGCTCTTGGAACGCACTACTTCTGGCACAAGGGCCGGTTCCTCACGGTCGACCGAGCCAGAGAGAGATCGCAGATGTGGACTGAGACACTCCGAATTTCCTGTCTGGGCCGGAACACGGAGTTTCTACGAGAGTTGATACGCGAAGCCCAGCTGAGCTACCTGAAACGGGATGTCGATAAGACTATCATCTATCGGTGGACAAAGCCAGATCACTCATCGTCACCAAGCTGGACGAGATGTATGGCACGACATCCGCGACCGCTCTCCAGTGTCGTCCTGGACCAGGAGCAGAAAGATGCTTTCCTGGACGACGTCAAAGACTATCTCCATCCCTTTACGAAGCGGTGGTATTCTAACCGTGGCATTCCGTATCGTCGTGGATATCTCTTCTACGGACCACCGGGATGTGGAAAGACAAGTCTCTGCTTTGCTGTCGCTGGGTTGCTCGGACTGAAGATCTATGTCGCTAATCTTAGCTCTCCGTATCTGACTGAAGAAGGGCTGGCGTCGCTTTTCGCGACCCTGCCCCGTCGGTGCATCGTCCTTCTAGAAGACATCGATACGGCGGGAATAACCAAAAGCCGTCTGCAGGTCCCCGCTTCGGCTTCTATTTCTGCTTCTTCTCCTTCTTCCACCCCGCAATCTGCCTCCACTCCAGCTCAACTGAAGGCCAAGTCCGAGAGGCCAAGCCACCAAGCCAGCAGCGCCAGCGACGATGATGATGATGGAGAGAACGCCGGCGGAAGTGTCGGACAGGACCCCACCCCCGCATTGCAGGGCATCTCGCTGTCTGCACTGCTCAACACCATCGACGGCGTGGCATCCAGCGAAGGTCGCATTCTGGTCATGACCACCAACCACGCCGAGAATCTCGACCCTGCGCTCCTGAGGCCTGGGCGTGTTGATCTGACGGTCGAGTTCCGCAATGCAGACTCAGAGGCCATCATCTCTCTCTTCCGGGCCATCTACTCCGAAATCGAGGGAGATTGGGGTGATCATGGCTCTTCCAGCCGGAGCGAGTCTACAGCTG